GTGGCAGGTAGTCCTGGTGTTGCCCAGATCTGGTGAGAGTCACGAAGTGACTTCGGGTAACACATTCACGATCCTGGCATTGGCGATGGTTCCTGTGAAGGTGCTCGCTCAGCTTTGGAAGGGGAGCTCCTGAAATGGCCTCCCCTCACACCTGCCAGTCACCATGCACTCCCGCGTGCTCTCCTCAGCTCCCTGGGGGGATGCCAGGCTCTGCCGGAAGCTTGCCAGATGCACTAGGCACCCACAGGCATGCTGGGACTGGAGGAGCCCACCTCCTGCCTGCTGCTGCAGGGCAGGCCAAGGCAAAGGCCTTTCCTTACAGATATTTGGGCATGGAGGTGCAAACACCACCCATCTCAGGCCCCGCCTGGCCTATCCAGGAAAGCCAGTGGGGTGCTGAGTCCAGCGAGAACATGTACTTGTTGGCTTCAATGTGGCTTTAGCACTCCTGGGTCCCCAAGTCGCTTGGCATCCCACACTGTGTGCTTTAGGTGCTTAATCTCTAATGGGAGGGGGTTGGGCTAGTGCCTTTTAAATTCTTTTATAGTAAAACAAAATCTAATTTTATTCCAAAGCTCCCTGCATAAAGCAGAGGCAGAAGAATGACTGACTGGAACAGTGGAGGTGAAGGCGGGACCCCTGCCTATCTCTCCCCTGCTTCTCAACAGGACTCCCAAGACCCCTCTTTGGATTAAAGCCCCAGTCTTGCAAACACCGCTTAAAACTGCAGGATCAGCCAACCGCTGAGGGCCTTCCTGCTGTAGGGGTTCAGACTCAGCTTTGCGGAAGCATCCTCTGATGCAGTTACAGGGTCTGGGTGGTTGAAAACGTCCGGGTAGCCACAGAGATAACAGAGTCTCTGGGATCAAATTCTAGGGAGAAGCAGAGTGGTAGGCTGGGAAAACACAGTCCTTCACAAAAATGCCTTGTTGGGTGGAGTTTTGGCTTCTTGGAGAGGGTGTGAGCTGTGTGGCCAGGTGCGGGATGACGTTGGTGTTGGTGGTTGTGTTTGACATTGTGCATGAGAGGACTTGTTTGTGTTGTGTGTGTATGTGAGGGTATGCGTGCACGTGTGTGTGAGTGAGAGGGGACATGGTGGTGTTCCCTGCTTGGCAGAGGCCTTCCAACTCATGCCTGGGCACTGGAGACTGTCTCCTGAGGCCCCAAGGCTGCCCTTGCACCCAAGTCAACGGGCACGGGTCGTTCCTAGCACAGAACAGAGCCAGCTTGGAGATGCAAACCCAGCCGCACTCAGCCCAGCCATGCACAGCCCGACCGCTGTCGGCACTTCCCTCGCAGGGGCTCCAAGAACAGTGGAGAAACAGGCCTTTGAGGTTTGTTTACCCCAGGCTGTGTGCAAACCCTTGCAAAGACTTTATTTTTTTCCACTTGATTTCAAGCCGTTTATTTTTCTTTTCTAAGATCTCAAGTTGCTTACAGTAAATCTCATGCCGGATTTCACGCTCTTGTAGCTCCACGGCTTTCCAAACCACATGGCCAGAACTTTCCCCTGGGAGCTCGCCTAAGCCCCAGGGATGCACAGGGCCCTGGAGTCACGTGTCAGGGCCAGTTCTGAGCAGAGCTGGGCGGCAGAAGTGTATGGGGTGCTCTGGTCCCTTGCTGTGGCACTAGCCTGGCACGCTAGGTATGTGTGCTGGGTGGCATGGGCTGTGATGGGGGAGGCCAGGGAGACAGCTTGTGCATGCAGTAGCTTCCTGTCATTTATTACAACAGCCACATTAGCTGCCCAAAGGCAATCTTGAAAGCCCAAAAGAGGTGGCAGTTTGTCCTACACGGATGTAAGTTTGGAACAGAACAAGCCAGGTGCTGAGGGTGAGGGGATGACGCTAGTGGTGACTTTTGCTCCCTGTAACTCTCTCCAGAAGATTAAAAACAAAAGTCTCTTTCTTTGTGAAAATAGCCCTGGAATGAAAGCCAACCATGAGTGTTGACTGGAAAGGCAAGTGACAGAAGCTCAATTTCCAGCCAGCATAAGCAGAAAACACAGCTACTAATTGATTCTTATCAAAAGCTAAGGGTGGATTTTAGGAGCAGCTGGATCCAGGAACTCAGGCACTGTCTTTGGGACTTGCTGTTCCCCTTGCGTCTCCACTCTTCGTCCCCTGCCTCAGCTGAAACCCCAGCTGGGCCCTCCCCATGGGAGCTCCGGCAAGTCCAGGAGAGAGGGAGCCCTTTCTCCAGCAGCTCCTCAGCCTGTCACATGCCAGGCCTCCATTCCTGATGGGTGGCCAGGCCTCGCTGTGCCCATCATGGGCATGCGAACACTGAGTGTCCCCAGAAGC